AACGTGTGAAATTGTACTGTAATTTTCGCCTGCGTCTCCCCCTTTGAAGTATTCAAATTAAAGTACTCTGAGCATTTCTTGTTTCTGCACGTGCGTCGTAACCATCGAGGGGTAAGTGTGACAGTCGACGTGTGCATTCCACTTCCATAACAAAGTTGTTGTTGTTGCCCTGTTACATTTTACTAATGTTATCGCTGCAGCCATGCTCCGTATCTAAATAAAAAAAATGGGAACCCTTATCACAACATACAAACACGTTTTATCAGTCAATAACCAATAACATTTTAAGGCACCTTCAAAGTCAGGGCGATAAGATACTGAAATTATAAATACTCGTTTTTGCTCGTGTTCAAAACGTGGAGTCGCAAACAGAAATTCTTCAAAATAATTTTTACAAGACTTTTACAATCGTCTGAAGTTGCAGGTAGATATCGACGTTTCGGGGGGAACATTCTGTTTACATCTTCAGGTCGGAAGATAACATCGACATCTTCACCGCCCTGACAACCTCAAATAAATCTAATAATATATTTTTTTTTACTAAGAACTGAAATATAAAAAGGCCTAATTTAGAACACGCCAGTTCAGTTACTAAAGCGATTAAGTTGTCTTAACGTAGGCATAAATAAATTTTATAAGCTGTGTAATGTCAGCACACCCAAGAGACGTGAGAAGTCCTACATCGGACATTGGACAGCACAGAAGGCCTGCTATCTATTGCAAATGTCACAGCAGGGAGTTTCAGCCTCCTTTACGTAAGTAGCTGTCCCACTCACGTCTTCGTAAATGTCACAGAGAAATAAGCGTGTTGTGTTATAGTGACCGGTCAGGATGTACCGAGCAAGTTAGCCCGCACGTCTCCGTGTGCCAGCTGGCTTCAGCGCACCTCGCTTGCGTCTATTTACCTTCTTAGCTCAAAATAAATTGTGTCGGCCTTCGGGATGGGGTTAAAAGTAAGGCTGTACTCCACAGAGCAGAATCCCTCTTGAGAAGCAAGCGGTCGCTCGGCTAGATAAGGAATTCATCTTCTTTTATCGAATCAGAAGGTTCATTACAGTGTTCGGAAAAATCCGCCACTGCTTCCAGTCATACGCCGCCTGAATCCAATAAACACCCTCTCACCCCCATATTTTTAATTACTCTGTTAAGTTGCGATAGGTTAGGTTAGGTTAGGTTAGGTTAGGTTAGGTTGGATTAGGTTAGGTTAGGTTGGATTAAGTTGGATTAGGTTTTTAGGTTTGGTTACTATCCCTTACGTTAGTTACTTTAATTTAGTTTCGGTTAGATTAGGTTTTTAGGTTTGGTTACTATCGGTTACGTTAGATTATGTTACTTTGTTCTGGGTATGTTTGTGATCTGGTCGGTGTCGATTATCGATTTGCACATATCACTATATCGACTGGTCTACTTAAGCCTGTCGATTGGTGATCGCTATATCGATTACTCGATGTCGATATCGATAAATCACTTCGTCGATATCGTTTTATCTGTCGGTCGACATACAAAAATTTCTTCGGTCGATACAGATACAACGATCATCGAAATCTCTAAGTCGATTGGTCTATATCGATATGCAGGTTGGTCGATATTTATATAACGACTGGTCGATATTGGCGCAGTCAATCCCTAATGCAGCCGATCTCAATGCTGTTAAAGTTATCTCTAGGAAAGCCAGTGCTCAGAACAACAAGTTCTCGAGACAGGATGTCTTGGTCTCGGGGGGGGGGAAGCGTCACATATGATTATTTATGAACATGTGACGCGCATTGCGTGTTTATTCCCATTTTAACACTTGTCAAAATATATTTTTGTCTCTGACCTTCAAAATAGCCCAGTCTGAATGTTACTAGACAGTTCCGAGGCAGGAATACCAATATTTCAAATTTAAATGAATATTCACTCTGATTGTATACATATATGTATATATAGAAGAGGAGAATACATTTAGCTTAAAAATACCGCTGTGATAACCTAAAAATCCTACTGTTTTTCAAAATGTCTAAATTGTCTTTGCAAGATCAACGCCCGACTACCGAAGCACGTTGCTACGACAGATTAATTTAAATTTATTGCTATTTATAATCCGGTAAGCAAAAACTGTATCCGGAGTTTTAACGACAAGTATTATCGTACGGTGTGATATAGCAACTATCAGCGGAGTCTGTTCACGCCCCAATCACGTGAACAGACTGTGATTTCAAATGAACTGATTTCACTTTATGTCGATGTGAAGTCATTAATTTGCATTCTGAACTAGAACGACTGTTAATTGTTTTAATCTGCCTGGAATTTCAATTAAACATTCTCCATGCATATTGTGAAACGAGTTCATTTGTCAGTGCTTGTTTTCCTAAGATAGCCTTGAAGATGGAGGCGTTATGTTCCTCCGAAACGTCAGAAAACTAATACTTTTATTGGACACCCGTTGGTACCATTTTTGAAAACTGATAGCCAGTACTTATTTATAAATGACAAATTACTATAATTACATATTATTTTAAACTTTCTCCTGACAAAATTTTTACCTGGAGAACTTACGTTTTGTGGCGGGATTTTGAAAGTCAGTAGATTTTCGTGTAAAACAGCAGACGAGATGAGAATCAGGATTTTGTCTTGAATGTCCTTAGTAGTAAAGAAAATAAAATGATCTTGTATCAACTAGTGACAAAGATGACAAATACTTTCGCGGGCTTGGTTATAAAAGTGGCCTCGAATCTGACGTGGACCGCGGGCCGCGTGTTGTACCACGCTGCTGTAGCTACTGAGCATTTTGTTACTCTGCTCACGTTGATGAACAGGAAATTGTCTGCTACTTTGAGCTAGTTTTTTTTTTTTTGCCTCAAAATCAGTCCGTACGATGCAGTCAGTTAAAATAACCATTCTGAGGGGCTCTGCCCTTCACGACCCCAGACATGGACTCTGACCCTCCTTTACTTGTGAATTTTTATCAAAACTTTAATAAAATATCATTTACGTATTTGTTGAAACCCCGTATGACGTCAAGATGATTCTCGCTGTAGTTTATTAAACTTTGCACTTAGAAGCAAAGTCCAGTGACCCAACAGTGATTCTGAGGTCCAACCCGATATGTTTTTTTTTTTTGTATGTTCGAGACAATTATCTCGCTTGAAACAAAAATATAAGTTGTGAAATTTGCCCCTAGTGACACAGAGCAAGATTGTGGAGCCTGTGACATAGATTATGATATAAGAGGAGCGTGGATTTCAAAATACTGAAGTCGGCTTGATTGTAAATGTTACGCAGAGGATCACGTGATATGACCACGAGCCGTTCCTCCTATCAGAATTAAACGATATATATGTGCCTTTTCACGTGGTTTATTATATGTGTACAAATGTTGACACTGAAGCCAGTGTTCTGAACTTAGATGTCAGCTGTAAATATTGATTTTTCACTCTTTATCCGTCACTGAAATATCGTAAAAAGTTACACAAAACTTTCAGAATCTGCGGCAATTCTTAGTCGTGGTTTCTTGTCTTGAATGAATAAATTTTACAGGTTTAATTTTTCGACACTCAATTTTGGTACAGATTGCATGGATGTCGACATTAATGAGCCCCCTAGTCGCCAAGGCTTTGGTCACGAGGCATTGTTTTGCGCCAAGGAAAAAACTAAGTTTCGTCATACGATCTGTAAGACAATGACGTGTATCGCAAACAACATATGTCTTCTGTTATTCTTTCCAGAGTTCCACGAAGTTGTTTTAGGCACAGGAATACCGTTCTAGCCAATCTGTTGTCAACTTTTTTCAGCGCTTGGAACGGATTCGTGTGCCAGATGGTCCTACGCTCTTTGCTTATTTAAAGTCGCGCGCGTGTGTTGAATTGCAAATGGGAAAATACCTCAAAGAAAACACTACGCTTTACCATTACAAAGATCGAGTGGTTAACGCTGTTTAAAGAAATAATCGCTGTTTACAGTGAGAATCTTAGTTCAGTCCGTACCGCGAAGAAACCACGACACTTCACCATTACAAAGATCAACTGGTTAACGCTGTTTAAAGAAATAATCGCTGTTTACAGTGAGAATCACACGAAACTCATAGATACAGTGCGTAGGCATCTAAATAATATTTAAAGATTCACGCAGATTAACGCTATTTAAAAAAATAATCGCAGTTTACAATAAGACCCATAAGGAAAGCCTATCGTATATCATATAAGACCCATAAGGAAAGCCTATCGTATTCATAAAAGAATAAAATATACGTAATTATCACGCTGCAGTGCAACAAGATTCGAACACCTAAGAAATGAAGAAATCAGAGAAAGGATGGAAATTCAAGGAACAATTATGGATACTATTGAAACAGAAACGTTACTCTGGTACGGACACATGCAGGGGCAGAGACTAGCCCAAGAGTTATGGGAATGGATACCGACAGAACGCAAAAGAATAGGAAGACCTCGAAATAGATGGTTGAACGAAGTAAGAAAAGCCATGGAAATAAGACATTTGGGAGACGAATGGATAGAAAGGACAAAGTGGCGACACACATGTAGCTGCACATTATTTGTACTTTTTATGAAATAAGCGCCATCCGTTGACGAAATCTTTCAACTATTCGTTAAAAATATAGCCAATAGATGGCTGTCATCGTCTCTCAGATATGAGACTGTCTGAAATCGGAAGTGGCTCTGTTGGACAAGAAATTCCCTGCCTATTAGGGAACTGGAAGGTTTAAACAATAATATTTTGTCACTTACTAGTGTTTGCTGTGAGGTGCTGTTAGCCGTCCGCCCATCCAACACCACCCCTTATCGGCTGTCCGAGACTACTTATTCATTACATTTATATCTACCCTCCAATCTGTGGGCCGTCGCCAACTCTAAAAGCTTTCAGTTTAATAATTTACTGATTGTGGAGAAAAATGCTTGCTTTCGGTGATGTGACGAACTCGTTCGAAGAAACTGCGGGAAATCTGTTGTAGAGAAGGGAATTTATGAACTTCCGGAAGGAGCTTGGTGGGAGTAACATAAACGTCATGAGTTTGCGTGTGAAATTTTGAAGTGACATGCGAAGTGTTTGTATTTACGTAATGGGGATGTATGAATCATTCTCAGCTTTGAAAAGGAGTAATCATTAATTATATGGCCGTGGCGTTTTATCTGTGATTGTGATATGTATTAAATATTTCAGTTACGTGTTTTAAGTTTTATAAGATGTGCTGAAAGTTGTTGTTACTGCAGACCAGGTTTAATTTGAGGTAAAATGATCAATGAAAAATCGAGGGAGGCCGCTATTGGAGATGACCTGGAAAACTGGATGTCACTTCTTCCAGAAACATTACAACATATGCCACTAATATATTTGGCTATTCCAGGTTAGCTGCAAATTATTCTGAAATTGACGGTCTTTGTGTCTGATGAATGGGGTTTGACAGGAAGATGACAGTACTGAGCACAAAAATTTGTGTTCTGCAAAAGTTTACTCACTTGTGTGTCACATATGGAATGTTGTGGAAACAGTAATATGTGTCATTGCAATGCAATTGAATTATTTGTATTATTGTCATTAGAATTGTGAATAATTGTGACAGTTTAGAGTAGTTTTGTTAGCTGTCATAAGTGAGGTAGGATTTTAATTCTTAATAGCAGAGTGAATGACCATGGGCTGGATGACCAGGGTTTAATTCCCTGTATTGGCAAGGATTTGTCTTGTTTTCACCACATCTCAGGGTTTAATTCCCTGTATTGACAAGGATTTGTCTTGTTTTCACCACATCCGGACTGATTATAGGTTCCACTCTGTATCCTGTTCGATTGGCGGAACTTACCGTGTTCTGACCTAGCAGTAATTTCCCCACAGGTTCTCATGACTCTGCTAGCTACAGCATCACACCTTCATCAAGCCTGTCTCCTGATGCTTTACCTTTCGTGCGCCGATTGGCAAAGGTGTTTGGTCCACTTGTGAAACACTTTGTGTTCAATTGGTCAGTGACTCAGCATGCCTCCATTAAAGAGCAGTTGTACGGTGGTGTCAGGTTAGTAAGACGCATATAACTTGTGTAATTAAATGCAAGTGATTTCAATTTGTGCATTTTATGTGGAAAGTTTCTTTTTATTTCCAAGTCCGGTTAATATATTTGCTGCATCGCAGGCTCTTGTGAACGTGGAATTGAACCTCTGGGTTCCACAAAAGTAGGGGAATTTCTTGACCAGCTGAGCAAGTATCAGCTGCTAAATGAGAGCTCTGCTGCATGGAGTTGTTTACTTTGAATATTAATTTAATGAGGCACCAATCACTTGTGGTTGTTTGCCTGCAACATATTCTTAAGCCATGATATGAGTGGAGCCGTTGTGATGAAATGCCATATAAGTCTCCAAAACAAAACTTTAATCCACTTGCTGGGTTCGTTTAATAGATATATGTTGTGATGCTCTGTAATTCTTGCATGGAATCACAAATTCACGCCTGCTCTAGATTATGTTGCGGATTTGTTATACGATGCAATTGATGTGCTGTTTTTCACTTGTGACATTCCTCTGTTTGTCTGTTTTAGGTACTTAGATCTTCGCTTAGGAACAAAAACTGGGAACAAGAATATTTACTTTGTTCATGGACAGTATGGGATGGAAGTTGGAAAGATTCTTCAAGAAGTTGATGCATTCTTGGCAGACCATGAAGGAGAAATTATTGTCTTGGATTTCCAGCATTTTTATTCATTTACTAAAGAAAGTCATACATATTTGATGACTATAATAGACAGTCATTTTGGTAACAGAATGTGTCCCGTTTCACGTACACTCACGCACGTTACTCTAAGTTGGATGAAGGAGAAAGGCTATCAGGTAATTGTGATCTATCGTGATGAAGCCGCCGCAGGCGTACCTGTGTGCTGGCCTCCAAGCAGGTGGCCGACTCCTTGGCCAGAGACCACATCCGTAAGCACCATGATAGCGTTCTTAGAGGAAAAACTTGCATTCCGTCCAATGGATGCTGGTTTTGTGACACAGTGTGTTCTCACACCAGATGTAAAGTTCTTTTTAAAACATTGTTTTTCTTCTTTGGAAAGAAAGTGTGCAGAACCCTGTAATCATGCCATTATCCCATGGCTGCAGAAGCAGAAACCAGGTTCCAAAGGCATCAATATCGTAATAAATGATTTCATCAAAATGCGGGATGTTCCATTCTGCAAGACTGTAATACAGTTGAATGCCAATCTGCTTCATTAAATTCAAATAAGTCAGTATGAAAGTAACCGCCCTCAACGCTGTATCACATTTAATGAGTCTGAAAATTTTAATTGCACTTTATAGTTTATAAATAACCGTGGAAGACGCGTACAGGGTCAGAACTGTTTGTAGAAGGGGGTGACAGTAATTTAGTGAGCCGATGAGCGATCGAGTCTGTAACTGGGAAAGTGAGTGTGTGATTGTTTTACGAGACGGCAGACGAACGTGATATAACACACAGTTGCTGATAGGGGCAGGTCCCTTTCTGTACATTTAGTGGTTGATATTTTTGGCCGTAATACTGTGCTTTACAAATCTACACAGACAGTGTGTACAGAAGTGTCTTCTTTGTAAATAATTCTGACATGTCATTTTATGCACCTTGTAAATGTGCGCAGTAATGTGCATCGCATTTATATGTAAATCATTTGACTTGGGACACATTTACTGTCATGTAAGCTGTATTTTTAATTTTTTTACATTCCAGTATAAGTATTGTCTCCTCTTACTGATAATTCATCAGGCTTTTAGAGTAGTTGAATTCCTCATTTGATCATATTTCATTTTGATTTGAAACTATTGCTGTTGTGTCATGGCGTCACTAACTGAGCTGCTGTGATAACTGTCTTACACCTTTTTGAATCTTATGGGGCCCATTCCATTGCATAACTGAGCACATTGTTTGTTTTGGGCCCTTTCGGTGACAGTTTCTCATTTGTTTCACATTACATCGATGTGTTTCATAACACATACTGATAGCGTTAGAAGATATTCATGTAGAAATAATGTTTCCTTATAATAAGCATGAACTGAATACAGTATTATGAACGTTTTAGTGATATTATTTTACATATTCATAAGAAGTATTAGTAAACTTTTGCATTTTGTTATTTTATTTTAGTGTAACAATCCCTTGCCAGTCGTGATGTTAGTGGGTGCAGATTTGAAGTATCTGCATAGGATTTGAGGTTTTCATGGTCGTGAGTCCGAAGATGGCTGTCTTCTGGGTTGTAGCACCGTGCTGCCTCCGTCATCTGGGTGATCACTTCGATGATGGAGGCAGCAAGGATGCTGTTAAACTTCTGCCAGATTTTGTGGCATTACAAGGCAGAAGACGGCCATCTTCTGAAGTATCTGCGGATTTTCATTTCCACCTGGTTCTTCGTTATTTCATTTTATGCATGTACTGTTTTCAGTATAGGTGCACGCAGACAAATTTATGGCTTCCACACAAAAAAATTTATATTTCTTTTGGACAGGGGTGTAATGACATCCCAGTTTCCTATAAGGCCTTTGTTTTGCCAACCATGACATTTTTCAGGAACACAAAGTATACAGTTAATAGAGGATTACTGCATGAAATTATGGTTTGGTAAGTGTATATGATTTGCTCTCTAAGCTGTTTTATATTAATATTGTCATTGGACATTTTTGTTTATTTATATTATACTGTTTTATGTCTTTAAGACAAGTAGTTAGTTAAAGTTTAACATGAAATACTTGAACTTTGCTTAAGCTTAATTATACTGTATATTTCAAGAAATTAATATATTTAGCTTTATTTTATCAATTTTAATTTGACCCCAAGACAACTGTATTTGACACGTTTGCATAGTTGTACTTCCTAACTTCAGTCTGAACACTTGCTGTATTTGTTTACTAATGTTTCGTTTTGTTCTCATAATCTAGTCGGAAATCAGAACAACTTTCAACATAATTCTGAAATTACATTCACATCAGTCTTGCAAGTGTCACAAAGTTAGTTACACCAATTTATGGTATTTCTGATTTCTTTTTATTGGGCAGTAGTTTTCTTTTGTTGTGTAAAGATGGTAAATATGTGCATAATATAGGACATTTGAAAACTTCTCAGTATCCCCCCCCCTTTTCCATGAAGTGACTGGAGAACTGTTTCATGTTGGTTGAAGTTGAAGTATTGAACAAAAGTTATGAGTTTGAATACAGATGTTTATGCATGAAACATATTTTCCATTCATCTCCATCCGTGTTCAGCTAATAACAGTGTCAGGTAATGTTAAATAGAAAACCAATGATCTTGTTTACATTATGTTCCACTTTTGGTGTATTGTTTACTTATGAAGCGCCTAGTTATGTTAATTGTGACCATATTGGTTTGGGGAAAGGAAATTAAATCGGATTACATACATGGATAAGATAAAGAACAACATTATCTTTTGACATGTTATGGTTGCTTACATTTTGAATTAATTTGTACACAGTGCATTTAATAAAGACAAGAATAAATTTATAAGTACTTTCAATCGGCCTTGTATCCTTAAAATAGACCATAAAGTAGGGTTCTCTCAAGTGTCCGGGCATGAAAATTTCAAATCAATGTAAGTAAAGATTTTTTGGATGGGGGCAATTGTGGCGATCAAATATATCAACTGAGCTGTGGTGCTGGTGGTGTATCGTATGATATTAGTCGCCTTCCACTCAAAGATGGCAGGAAAGTATATTGTTTTCAGCCTGTACCAAATTTTGTGATGAGTTAATGTCCGTAGTTTGTTTAGAGGTGATTCGTGGTTGCTGTAGGTAATGATCAAGGTGGATTTCTATTATATTTATTTACGGAGTGTTTTGTTGAGAAGTGTGAATGATTTATGCCGTCCTTTCTAGGTGGAGAATAAATTATGGACGTCAGTTGTTAGTAATTACACATATCAGTATTTTATCCAACTTATCGGGGTTATCTTTCTATACTGCAATGTTTCAGAACAGATTAAATTACGACAATACAAACAGCTAATGATTGTGTAAACAGTGAAGAATACATTTTATTTGATCACCGTAAGAATTAACATATCTTCATTTGATGACGCACTTCTGGTGGTGAAAGTGAAACGTGGTTCGACGAAGCGTAATATATTTTATGTTAATTTATGTTTGGTTATATCGTTACATTTTATGTTGGCAGAAATTGCAGCGTTTCATTTTCTCCACCTACTTGTTAGTTCCATTTAGTATCTCTATACTTAGTATTATTATTTTGTGTATAGGCGGACCCGAACCGGTTTCTCAAAAGTATTCTTTGACAAATTTTAAAATTATAGTAATTAATTTAACTAGTTGCTTTTCCATTATCTCTTCCCCATGTTATTTTCAAAAATGTTGTGCATATTAGTTTCGATTTGAAATTTAAAACTGATTGATTACCTTAACCTTTCCTGCTTTGATTTTGACAGCATTATTAATATCAGTTAGTAAAGTAAGGGCGTGTAGGATCATTGATGTTATTGATAACTGACCAATAGAAAAAATATGGAAATTAAGGACCAAGGTAACTGTAGGGCCCTGAGATAATGCGCAGAGTTGCTGCAATGAATGGATAGATTTTTCAGCCATGCATTCTTTTGTGGTTTGTTCATTAAACTTAAAATAAATTGTGTGGCCCATTTTTCAGTAAAACCGAGTTTATTTCAATTAAAGTTTTATGTGGCCTACCAGTTATAATGGAACTTTGATGTGTATAATTTGCGTGACTGTAGCGTGTG